GATGTGGGAGGCAGGGCCCCCCAGCCGAGCCCTCGCCGCTTACCGTGGATGGTGAGGATGAAGCGCTTCTCGTCTCGGCCAGCCACGTTCAGCGCCACGCACGTGTACGTGCCCGAGCTGGAAAGCTGCAGGCGAGGGAGCTGCAGCACCCGGGAGCCTGGAAGAAGCAGAGAGCAGGAGTCAGGGCAGGCTGGAGGAGGACCAGGTCTGTGCTGGCAAGCTGACCCGTCCCCCAGCAGCTGGCCAAGCTCGATGCAAGAGGTGCATCTGGCCATCAGAGTCTCTCCATGAGGTCTGAGGCCTCACTGGGCACAGCAGAAAAGGGTGCTGAGCTCCTGGGCAGCGGCAGTGCAGAGTTTGGAGGATGCAACCCTGGGTCCTCTCCGGAGGGGATTACTCAGCAGCAAGTTGTTAGTGCACGGTACGGCCAATAGTCTGAGCTCGAGTCCCACGTGCAGCATCCAGAAGGGCAGATTAGGGGAGTTAGAGCCCGCCATCGAGAGCCGGTGGCCGTGCCAAGCTCCTGGGAGACGAGCTGTCATGCCTGCTCATCCCGACGTACCTGGGGTGACGGCCACCTCCTCACCAAGCCGCAGGATACGGCCATCCTTGTACCAGGCGATCTCTGCAGCGGGGTGGGATCGGACGTCGCACGCCAGCGAGACACTGCCGTTGATGACGCCATCGATGTTTTCGGGCTTTGTGCCCACAATCCAGGGAGCTTCTGCTCCAGCACACCCCAAAAGACAGCGCCAAAGGGGAACCGTCACTGCGGAGGCTGAGGTCTCTCCAGGAGGAAACACACACCGAGCATCTCGCCTGCTCGGAGTGTGCCGCCACCTCGACCTCCTTGCATGGGGTGAGTGTGACAAGCAATAGGGGACAGGGGTGGCCATGCAGTTCAGGAGCCACAGGAATCTCCAGCTGGCAGAGGAGGAGGAGGGTAAATCAGCAACCCAGGGAAGGGTCACTGGGGATGCCTTACCCTGCACAGCGAGGGCAAAGTGCTTCTCAGCTGACCCGGCCGGGTTCTCAGCCACGCACACGTAGCTGCCAAAGCCTCCACCGCGGCCACCTGGCAAAGGGGGAGCAGAGCCCCGCTGAGGGTTACCCCAAGCCAGGGAGATGCTGGGGCTCCCACAGGGACTTTGGCACTTGACAAGACCAGGGCAGCCTCCTCCTTCGGGAGGGAAGTGTGCCCCGTCCCCTCCACTCAGTGCCTCCCGTGTGCCCCCTCGGCACAGCCACCCTGCCCGGGAAGACACCGACCTGCAGGACCGTGCCACCCTCCAGGAGCTGGTGCCGTGGGCCGACCACAATGGGGACATCGTTCCAGAGCCAGGACACCGCGGGCACCGGGTGCCCGGTGGCATCGCACTTGAAGTGGACGGTGCCATTGATGGTGGCCGTCACCTCCTCAGCCAGGTCCTCCGTGCCCCCA